CTTCGACAAAACACTAGTCAATGCAATAGGTCGATAGCTTTTAAGATTATCTGCAGGTTTATCCTTTTTCAAAATAGGGATAATAATGGCTTTTTTCCACATAGTGGGTACACAGGATTATTCACTAAAATTGATATGTTCAGACTACATTTTCTTCTCTACAATAAAGTCTCAGTTCAAAGGTCAACCACTTCAAGAGCACTAGAGAGATTTAAACGACTGTCATCAGAGACTTAAAGAGCCCTTAAAGAGATGAATTCTGCGAAGAAATTAAGCAATTAAATGGAATTAGTTGTTTATAGTTCTATAGATATAAAAGGATAGTATAATGAAAGAAATAAAGGAAAAATGCTGTTTTCAATTTTCTATTTGTACGAATTTCTAGACACACTTTTTAAGACATACTTTCTAGACACACTTTTTAAGACAGATAGTCTCCGCCTGTTTTAAGATAATAAATCATCTATTAAAATCCCGCATGCATGAAACACGTTGCCAGAATCAGCTGGTTGAAAGAAAAGAATAATTTTGTTCAAGTCTAAGAGAAAATGTTTGTTTGATGTGTGCAAATTCAACGAAATCAGCTGGCTTTCGCACTTCAATCTTCGTCATCTGCAGAAAAGATACATGACTAATGAATTAACTGATGGCAATAACCAGATTCGAATAACTCCCTTGGTTTACATTGCCTTGGTGGAATATCTCTTTCGGATTGAAACCAAATTGTGTAAAGCATTTTGTATGTAAACATTTCATTATTATTTAACTTGAAAAAAATTGCAAAATTATCATACGATAGTATTTGCTCTCAATTAAGTACATGTACAAAAGATTGCTCAAGCATTTATTAAAACTTATAGATGATAACTACTAAAATGTCACCAGAGAATATAACTTCAAATTCATTTCTCAGTTTTTAACAGCTAATCGCATCCTAATTTGGAAAGTCTAGTAATTTGAAAGCCAGTCTCATCTTGCACCATTTTGGGGAAAAAGAAAAATGATTTTTAAAACATCTCTCTCTCTCTTATTAAACAGAAAATAAATATGCCCTTAAAATTATAAGCTATATTCTCCCTTCTTTCAGCATGCCTTCATGGTGTAACGGTAAGATACTCAGTGTGTATTCGAGAGGTCCAGGTTCGAGTCCCAGCGAGGGCACTGCACATTTTTCACTTCTTCAGCATAAAAAAAAAAAAAAAAAAAACCTGATGACTTTACAGTGGCGCCCGAACTAAAAGGTGAGGGATGATGATTCTTCACCACCAGGATATGGATTAGGGCTACCTAATCCCCATTCACCATTTAGAAGGGGGGGAATATATAAGGTATTTTCTCCCTCCTTTCCGCATGCCTTCGTGGTGTAACGGTAGCACACTCGGGGCGCATTCGAGAGGTTCAGGTTCGAGTTTCGGCGAGTGCATAACACGTTTTTTTATATCTACAGCATCAAAAATACCGTAATGATTCTACAAGATATCACTATTTATCTTAAATATGCTGAAAATTCTGCTCTAGCTTCGACAAATTAATTTTTCTTCAAATTTTTATTCAATGAATTCCTAATTTCAAATTCCATTCTGATGAAAACCCAAAACTAAATCATTTGAATTATACTTCAGATTTTCAAATGTTCAAAAATATCTAGACCTTTTCTGACCAGTTATAATTAATATGTTTTGGATAAAAATAAAATTTAGACTATATTCTTATAATTTTGGTAGTTTTGAATAGTCATTTCTTAATTAGCTTGAGATCTATTAAAAATAAGTTATTTGCTATTAATCTCAATCATTAAGCATAACTTAATTTAAATAAAAATTAGATTGGTTTTAAGCAGGTACAAGCTCTTGTAGAGACATTAGAGATTTTTTCAAACAGAAGACGTAAAAAAATATGAGATACCCTCGCCAGGACTCGAACCCTAGATCTCTCGAATACTACACCTCGAGTTACATCAAGGAGGTACGCAGAAAAAATGAAGAAAATAACTTATATACTCTCCCTTCTAAAGGGCGACTCGAGTTCAGAGACTCCATTCGCCAAATCCTGGCGGTGATGAATTATCTTCCACCACCTTTCAGTTTGTGCACCACTTGTAGGTTCATTAGGCTTTTTTGAAGCAGGAGACGTAGAAAACGTTCACTTCCCTTGTCAAGACTCGAACCCTGGACCTCTTGAATACGATTCGAGTATGCTTCCGATTACACCACAAAGGCATGTAGAAAACAGGGAGAAAATACCTTATATTCTCCCTCTTTTAAAGGAAACTGGAGATTAGGGGATCCAATCGACAAATCCTGGGGGTGACGTAGTAGGTGACAAAGTAGGGTGATGCATTATTGTCTTTGGCCTTTTTAATTCGGGTGCCAGTGTAGAGTCATTTTAGAATTTTTCAATGTGAGGAAACGAAGAAATCCGCAGTGCCCTCGCAGGGATTTGAACTTCGATATGCGGATAGAAGAGAGAAAATAATCTTACACATTAAGTACAATCTTAGTTATACAGAGAGATTTCTTCTAACAACTATGAAATCTAATATTAATAAATGCAGCCACAAACAGCATCCTAATGAAAGAAGGATGCCTTTCTCAAATATTTTTATATAAATGAACAGAATAAAATCAGGAAAATAAAAATGTAAATAACGCTTCTTAATTGCATATTTATACTAAAACAAATGTGTTATCACTAAATATAGGTTCCTATGTCACTTTCAAAGTATAGATTGTTTAGCAAATTTGAGAGAATTTTGGGGTTAAGAAATCAGTAGTACAAGTATCGCATTAAAAATACTGTCTTGTTTGTGGAATGCGCATTTCTGCCAAACCGGGAATGATATGTAGGAAATTTCGTTTATGATAAAGGAGATAATCGTTTGTTGAATCACCTTCATGACCACACGAAATGCCGGAGATTTTCTTTGTTTCTATTTCATCATGCTGAAATACTAATGAACTAGCTTGCCGTTTAGTTTTTTTTTTTTTTTTTTTTCGTGATATATATGAGAGCAATTTTCATTGTATTTTGAGCCATGATTTCGATTTAAAAAATAAGATATATGAAAAAGGCCGTGATATATATGAGGCCATAGTATTATATGTTTGGTCCCAGGTAGTTTTTCATAAAAATTTTGCTAAATTTAAGTTTAGACGAGACTCTTAATTAAAACATTTCGATTAGAAAAGTGTTTTCCATATAGCAAAATTGATCAAAACTATTAACATACTGGGAATTTAAAAACAGAGTCCATCAGTTCAAGAAGTAATTTCACCAAGAAGAATAAATTTTGGAGAGGATTGTTCTGAAATAATATCTTAAAGCAAAGAGATTGCTAAAGCTATCTACTCGCAATACTATATTAAAGTTTCTCTGCGGAGTATTTAGTATCATTGCAGAAAAGCAGAAATACGAGTAGACCTAGCCATCTGGGTTACTGAATATTAATTAGTATATGTATATGTTACCGTAAAAGACCGAAATTGGAGAATGTCAACTTTCACCGGAGAATGTCAACATTCACCAAATAAGTCGGTGAAAGATCGAATATTCCATTACATTCTTGTACATTCGAACCCTCACCGGTGTATGTCGACAGTCACAGATATGTGTGGTGTAGGTCGAAAAAGAGGGTCATAAAGTGTCATAATAGTTTAAGTTATTGCAATAAATAAGATTTGAATCACAAATTTAGTAAGTTTTTATTACTACTATTTATTTCTCATTTAGAACGTACTAAGTTTTTAACTTCTATTATTTCCTTTCCCATTTTGAATGTACTGTGTGTTTTAAGTTCTTAAGTTCTTTAGTTTAAGTCTCAAGTGCGTTTTTTCGCAACTGAATTACGGGAAAAGAAAATATAATATTCTTATTGTTCAACATTCGCTATTAGTACATGGTGAATGTTGAGATTTACAGGTGTAAGTCAGAAATAAGAGTATTCGGAAAATATTTCGGACATACACCAAGCGACTATGTGAATGTTGACATTCACCGGTGAAAGTCGATATTTTCCAGATTTCGGTGTTTCATCATAACATATGTAATCACTTTGACTTAATTACGGGGAAAATGCCAAGATCATAAGCCTAAAGTTCAGATTTATACGATAAGCTTTAAAAATATTTTTTTTTAAATTTGCTTCTGTAAATCTAGCTCAGAGACAATGCTATGAGATTACCAAACTTTGCCCCTTTGAGAACATTTATAAAATCTAAATTAATACCATAATATATATTTATAAACAATTTATGTTTCTTTTCAGTGCCTTAAGTATTATTAGAAGCCGCCCAGACGGTATAGTGGTTAGGGGAGCCGACTACGATACCAGGGTTCTAGTACCGGAGAAAGTCAAACAGTTGCAGAAATAAGAGTTGAAGGAAGACGTGGGTGCAAGTTTTTCTAATTTCGAATGTCTTCTTATATACTCGTTTAATTTGTGTACTTCTGGAGGGAGCTTCGGGAATGCTGATAATAAACATTAACACAAATTCATGATAGGTTTAAACTCGGAATAAACTGTCAAATGTTTCTTTCATAAATTTGTCATTATGCGGACTTATTGATTATAGCACTCATTAATAACATGCTAGGGTATCCGCCTACGAAAAATAGTGTTGTTTCAGAAGACTTTATTTATTGTTAAGTCATAAAATATTACAAAGAATAATACTTAATAGATTTCATATTTTCGTGATGCATGTATCGCTTATTTATTCATTAGTATTTAATATTTTTAAATTGCATGAATTTCCTGTTAATTTTGTGAAACTACTCTAAACTCCAAGTTACTTTCCGCTATATTTTTAAAAATATTCGAGTATAACAGAAAGTGCTCATTTGAATAGAATTTCTCTTGTTAGGAAGTAGCGGGGAAGTCTTAAAATCATAATTACTTCTTTTACTAAAAATCTTTAAGAAAGTCATCTGTTTTTCTACAATGGAAAATTTAACAGATTTTAAGCAGCAGTGACGATTTTTATTAATAAAATTTAACTTACGGCTCGAAGTAAAGGAAGTATCACATTCAGCTGGTATTAATTAAAAGGAGTTTCGGAAGTTTAAAGTTAGAATCCTTTCCTTTCCTCTTTCTCGCTATTGCCGTGTTAAGCTTGCACATAGCAAGCTGCCTTATGTGTGGCTGCACTTCTTTATATATGTTTTTGAATTCCCTGCTGATCTTCGGGTTACCATACATAACGCCAAAGTCGCCAAATAATCCTTCTGTTGGCAAGTCCTCTCCGCAATAAAGGAACATAAACAATTATGACGGCATGTATCGCATGGTGGTCTTTACGTCATTACAATTGTTACTACAGTGCATTATAACTTGGTGTTCCCATTACTTATTATTATATTTGTTTCATTATGTTTATCTATTACTTGTAACCTTTATGTGTTATTTTTGTTACTCTAAAGCAGATCTTCAATTTAATTTATAACTTCCAAATTGTATTGGAACTATATTGTAATCTCTTTATATCCTAAATCATTATTTTTTATAAATACTGGATGCTGGGTTTTCAGTGGGATTGCACGATGTACCATAAAAGGTAATCGCTAGATCTTTTGAAAAGCTTCAGGTGTTCATTTCACAAACCTTTTTTTGTAAACTCTTATAAAAGCTTGTAAATATTTTTACGGCTTTTAAAATTTGTTTTACATTTATTTAGCTTTACCAGTGCCCAAATTGGTTTTTATTGATGTACTGGTGTCTTGAATATCATTTCCGCTCCATTTTTGTTTAGTGATGAGGGACATTTAAAAGAAAATATTTATTTCTTTGTTGTATAAGGTATTTTCTCCCTCCTTTCCGCAAGTCTTTGCGGTGTAATTAGAAGCATATTTGAAAGATCCAGGGTTTGAGTCCCGGCAATGGCACTGCACATTTTTTACGTCTCCTGCTTCAAAAAAATCTAATGATTCCACAAATGACCCCCGAACTAAAGGTGGAGAACGATAATTCGTCACTTCCAGAATTTAGCAATTACGTTTCCTCATCCCCAGCCACCCTTTGAAAGGGGGGAGTATATCCGCATGCCTTCCTGGTGCAACTGGAAGCATACTCTACGCGTATTCGATAGATCCCGGATTCGAGTCCTGGCGAGGGCACTGCATATCGTTCACGTCTGCTGCTTCAGGAAAACCTAATGACTCTAGAGATATACTGACTTAATACTACAAGAGATCATTCGCTTTTAAAGTTTCGAACATTATTCTGTATTTTAAGTACAGAGTACAATAGGTCTCAAGATACCATTATCGATAGTATGTGATTGTTATGATCCAATTTCATATATTTTGGGTTATTTAGGTAGAAATTCATTCTGATTAATTTTTTGAGATATTAAACTATGTTTGGCACGATTGTTTTCAGATATTTCGCAGACATAGGGCCAGAAATTATTTTACTAGCACATTTTTAAGAGCATTATAGTGTCACCTTCAGTAATTCATTATCTAGATATCACAACAATTTCTGAGCTTTGTTTTTGAGTTTTGAAATTCTGAATCGCATCTTAGAAACGTGTGTTAAATGTGTTGGTACATACAGTTCGAGTTTTGTTAAACATACGATAATTTCGAAGCAATTATCCATTAATCACATGTACTTTGTGTTTAAAGCAAAGGAAAAGAACGGGAAAATCTGATTATATTTGGAAATAAACTCAGTTTTAGGTCAAAGAGCTATACGGAGTCACGATGTAGGTGCTCAGAATGAGAATAGTAGTAATCATTTGTTGGTAATATATTTCCTTAAATGAGTGGATACCGATGTTGGAAAGAATGAGACGGAAAGATTTGTCTGCTTAGTGGAGTTTTGGAAGAGCATAAAATCGTTGCATTGAAAAAAAAAAGAAGAAATTAGTTTAAAGTGACCACATTTTCATTGAGACAAAGCGGGACAAATGGAATGAAATGAATGAAATTGTAATTTAGTTATGAAAGCAGGCCAATAATTCAGAAAAAATATATTTTATTATATACATTCATATACTTGTCTATAAATATACAAAAATATATTTATTATTAACTATTGGTAACTATAAAAGTATTTTTAAAAATAATAATTTGAATATTATGTTTTTTAATTAATTTAAAGTTTTATTAAAAAAATATGATTTCTTTCTTTCACGGTCATATTTTATATCCGAGTGATTCAGATCATTTATTAAATTATAATTAATAGATAGAATCATAGTAATAGATTCAGATCATTTATTAAATGTCGTGTAAGTTCTCACATGAATTGGTCAAATTATATTTTACGCTTAATACAGATTTTAAAGTTTTAATGTTCAACTGCGTTTTTTCAATTGTCCATATGTCATAGACACTAGAAAAAACACGTTCTGTTGCTATATTGTTCGGGAAGGGAGAGCGCATGTTCTGCAGTTTTCAAAATATTTTCATAAGGAATATTATTCTGTTTAAAATGAAGGGAATAACTCCGTCCATTTTTTGTCTGTTTCCACATTTGCAGACAAACATTTAATTTTTTTCATCAGTAACGTATCTTTTTAACACTGACACCTCATCACAAAGATCATTTTCAAATGTTATTTACGGAAAATGGTTACTAATATATTAAAAAGATTTTTCCACATATTTCATAAAATCTCTTTTCTAATGTCACTCAATGATAATTTTTAATATCCTCGAATTGAGCTGTCCGTTCTTCAAGATATTCCAAGCAGTTGTTATAAAATTTCTGACTTCTTTCAGAAAATCAGGTCGTTTAATTACACCTCGTTTAATCGTTTAATTAATCATCATCAATTCTTTCTCGCAATTTTTTTTTCAAATTATTGTTTTCATTTGACACTTCCGTAATTGAAATTTTGTCCCCTTCAATAATTTTCACAGCATTATGAAATAATGTAGCTTGGTTGTGGATGAACTGAAGCCAAATTTGTGATGTGTCATTTTCAAAAAAACAGCTGCAATATTCTTGGACATTTATCTTGTGATGAAAAGTATGATTTTAATGGTTCGTATATTTTAAAAATATTTTCTACAGCTGGTAAAAGAGCTAGCCATCGTGTTTTCCAGCAACCAATAATTCTTTAATATTCGATTTCTACGCTTTCACAAAAATCCTTCGAACTTTCAACACGCACAGTATATATAAAAATACGAATCAATTTTTGCAATAATATTTTCAACATCCACTGGAAGTAAGTCAGATGCTGTTTGAATAGTATTGTGTAAAATGTGCGCTGCACAACCTACTTCGATAATTTTTGATTCAAATTTTCGTTAAGTTTCGCAAAAACGTTATTGATGCCTCTTTTAGCTTTACCACCAAAATTTACGTTCGTGTTATATTCACAATAGGCAATAATTTTATTTTTCCAAATTATTATTTTTTAAAATAGTACTTATTGAATCAAAAATTATTCGTGAAGTTTCACCCGGCAATGAAACAAAATCTAATATTCCAATTTTAATTCCTGTTTCTGGATCAAAAAGTCTAACAATTATGGGAAATAATTTTAAATCTTTGTGGTTGAAAGCATCATAATATATGGATATAAATGTGTATTTAATCTAATTCTTTCTTCAATTGTAAAAACGAATATGGTGAAAAAACATTACAAATAATTGCTTCGATTTTTGTCCTTGCACATGAATATTTTTTGTCGTACGATGTTTTGATCATTGGCGGCATACAATCCATTGATCTGAAACTTTGATTGTGGTTTATGGTGTGGAAAGCAAATAGCCCTTCGGCTAATGCTAGCTGTTCCTCCGTTAACAATCGAATCCCGCGAACGGGCCTGCATGGGTGTTTTCGTGGTTTTCCCAATGTGTAACGTGTATACGAGCTAGCTTTCCTTAGAAAGTCCTCTACGAAGGCATCCCTCTCCTTAGGCAGATAGCCCTAGTGTGCTTTGCGGTAATCTCAATAAGCCAAACCAAACCAAACCTCCGTTAACAATGCATATTCCTTGGCGAGACGTAACGACAATGATCGAAAACCAGTATTTTTTATTTCTTTATATTCACTATAATAATTAGCAAATAATAGGGAATATATTTTTACAGTACATTTAAAATAACAAATGCGGATGTTTTCTAAAAAGCGGGACATTTTAAAAAATTGGCGGGTCGCGGGACAGTCCTCCAAAAAGCGGGATTGTCCCTCCAAAATCGGGACGTGTGGTTACTTTAAATTAGCTGCTTCTTTGTAGAAATGCTCAAGATATGGCATGAACTAATACTCGTTTAATTTTGAATACCTATAAATCGAATGGGTGTCTTATTCTTCATTGAGTAGTTTAATGACACCAAGACGATAATTTGGCTTATTTGGGGGGCTTCAAATAATAAAAGAGTTTTGGCTCGTAGATTTTGAAAAACTGTACGTTCCTTTGGAGATCTCATTATCATTATTTGACATATGTTGATATCCTAAGGCTTCTTCCTATGAATTTCGTGTTTTAATATTTTTTAAGCTATGAAGGCGTTCGATAGGTGTTAAAATGAAACTAGTAAATGAAAGCTATTTTGCAAGAGCAAAATGTATATTGGGACTACGAGCAGCTATTACATTCGAACTCAGTTATTTGTTTGGGATGTTTGCAATATAATTAATTATTAGAAGGATGAAGTAATAATTCGGCATCAAATTCGAAACACGATTTGTTTAGCTAAACGTTTCCTAACCTTTTAACACGCTGCATTGAAGCCAATATTTGTGCTCACTGCTTTCAAACCGCGGCTGAGCTTTTTTTTAATGTTGCAGCTGCAATTCACTTTCGGTAGAATATAATGAGCTGTTACTCAAGGCTGTCTCATTTGAGATCAGATTTGAATAGATATAAATAAAACTGACATCAGAGCATTTTCCCAAAAACTAAGATAAAAAGCATGCGAAAATTTCTAATGATTGTCATATCTGATGATTTATTGCAGAATGAGAGATGTTAATAAGCAAAGTATTTACTATGTTTGCGGAAAAGTGAATGCTGGCATTTTGGTGCATGGAAGCAGGTGGGATTTTAGTTTTGCTTCTAAATTATCAACTGCTGTGATGGATGTGTGCATAAAACTGACAAAGCTGGGGAAAAATAAAAAATAAATAAGGAGCACTTCTATTCTCTATGACATATCTGTTTGTTTC